GATTTTGCCAAATACAGCTAAGGTAATCTATTCCTTGAATAAAAAATCCTTAGTTTTTGAAAATTTCAAAGTTTTGTAAACAATATATGTGAGTGCAAAAAAAAACTTAGTCCATTATATCAGTGAAATAAACTTAAAATTCAATTTGAAAAAAGAATAATAATCTCTGGATGCTGTCTTTGTATAGAAGAAGCGTCTGTCAGTTTAGCAAAATTCCATGAATATTTAACAAAGCTATTGACTTAAAATAAAAAAGAAATTAACCCAAAACAAAGGAGTAGGCCCAGTAAGACCCCTTTTTGGCCCCAAAATATAGCAGTTTTACAAAATTGTTAAATGTAAACTTTCAGCTATTATTCTGTTACATAAGTATGCGCTTTTTTTGACAATACAATGCATATGTATTGGGTACTAGCATCGTTAAATCATGCAAAATTACTGCAATCTTCACAATTTTACAATTTGAGCTAATTTTTAGACGGTTTCCGTCTAAAATGGAAGTGGCCGCATTTGTGTTCAGTCTCAAAATTTTAGATGTATGTTGTATTTGATGATAATACATAACATATATAAAGGTTGAGAATGAACCCGAATGCGGCCACTTTCATTTTTGACAAAAAACATCTGAAAAGTGACATTTTATGGCATATTTGATAGATTTTTCATATACATATAAGCTTGAATTTTGCCGTCTTTAATGACTTAATCAGTTGAAATCTTTCACATCAACTAATTGAATCGACTGAAGAAGACACTTATGTGTTAAAAAAGTGCCCAAAATCTGTCATCAGATGTACCTGAAATTTGAGGCCAAAATTGGCCCTTACCGTACCTACTCCTTTAAATGTTGATGACACTAGAGAGAAGGATTGCTATGTCTAGCTTGGGGAACTCTAGTTGCAGGCTTGACAAATAGTAAATTGTAAAAAAGGATGACTTAAGAATGTCAGTTTTTTTGTGTAATGAATTTTTATAAACTTTTTAAATTTCAAAACTCATGCCAAATTTTAGACATCATTGTTAAGGGAATACATTTTCAGATTATTCAATTGGTAGGAGAACATTGCATTCAATATCATCTAAAGTTTCATTCCAGTACACAATAAAAATATTTTTGAAAATAGGTTAAATTCTTCAAACATCATGATCAGTCATTTCTTATTATATTTATTTTTCTTATCTTAGTAAGTTATATGCTTTCATATGAAAATAAAACACTAAACACAAATAATCAAATTTATAAAAGTTCACATTGCCTTGCATTAATTTAAAAAAAAAAGGGGGGGGGGATCTTCTGTGTGTAAATTCAAAAGTCACTAGACAGTTTGCCACTGATTCTGATAACAATTTATCTATGTGTAATAGTATTTTGCAATCCATAGTAGAGTCATAGTACACAGCTGGTCATTTCTGGTCATTCATCTACAATATTGTGGTAATTAGACAATTTCCTGCTGTGAAGACAAACAAGTGTGTTTGAATAAAGGATGTATCAATTAGCTGTTTATTGGTAAATGTTCTGGCTATTTAGCTTGAAGTAACCCAAAATATGACATTTGTTTATAATGATATAGGACAAACCCTAAATTTCATTCTAGGAGATATCAAATTGTACAATTTATTGGTGGTAATTAATGGTGAAAAATACAGATTAAATTCTAAATATATAATTAGATTGAAATTGTCATCTACTTGATTACATCATAAGTCTGAAACTAATCAGATGTCAGTATTTATTTTTGATGTGTTTAAAAAGGTCATTAAGGCATCAAATATTTGTTAAACCAAATTTTCTTTGTTTTTATCTTCCCATGTGATATAATTTTGCACTGAGTGATGCTAAATCATAGATGCTATTAATCCAATCATTTTGAAATTTGCACCTGATTAACATTCAACAGTTTTGTATACATGAAACAATTCAAGATAAAAATCGTAGGTTGCACATCTGTAAATAAAGACAATGCAATTTCCCATAGGAACCCCCTTTACAGCTAAAACTGTGCCACTTTCACTATGAAGTTTTGTAACCAAAATCATATCCTAGAATGGAAAGTTGTTGATATGCACAACTATTTTATTCAAAAGTCTAACTATAGGGATCTGCTGCATATTTTCAACATTTACATGCCCAGAACTTCTAAGAGTTTGAACTTATACTAATAAAATTCTGTACTGCTCCCCCCTTTCCCTTCATTTTGGGTCTTCCTCAGAATTCAAGTTGGTCGCTACCTATAAATATCTACCTATACTGGTAACATTCCCAAGTTATATCTCTATGTCAGAGATAAAACATATACATCATATCTGGGAACGAGTACATATACAAAAAATATCTATGAATATGATATACAAATGTATCCCCAAAAGAGGGATTTATTTATTTATTAAAGTCTGTGAAACAGCTGTATTTAAAAAGTGCAACCTTCAAAATGAAATTCAATAGTATCAATATCATTTATCCTGCTCTCTTAACTACTATGACTGTATCAGACTTTTGTCCCTCTCCCAAAAATGTATATATACATATGGAATTAATCAGAAGTCTTGTGTTTTAAACCTGGAAACTATGGGTCACAAAATATTTCTGTTCTGGAAAATCTTAATGACTACCAGTAAAAATTATATGGAAATTATTCGTCCCTTTGGAAAATACATGGAATTTCATGTGCACTAACAGACAAGAAGTTTGGAATTTTTTGATCCAGACAGAAAATTTGTTTGGAATTTTAGAAAAAATCAAGAAAAAAAAATCTGGAATTCCAATGTCTTCCATAGGGGGGGGACAGACTATTTCTGGAATAGCCCAATTTACAAAATAAGTTTTAGTCTCTGACAGGAGATTTTGGTATCAGTGCCTCAATTTTGTATGTTTTGTTCTATATTAAGATAAATTAGTCGATCCCTGTCAGTATTTACAGAGGAAAAAAATTGCAACATATAGCCTGATAATAAATTTATTATACAGGCACTTGTTTCTGTCAATGACGAATGTGGGGTTTACTATCGAATCCATGATATGTCGGCCTAAAACAAACTCAGCCTATAACACAATCTGCCTTACAAAATCGGACTATTACAAACTCGGAACTATACCAAATTCGGACTACTAGAAGTATGGTGTAAAAATATAGTATATATGCCAATACACATAATTAACAGCGCCTGGTGATGTTTCATAGCCTGACCGGTTTCGGTCCAAATAGGACCTTAATCAGAGGCAGAATGGTTGATTAATGATTGCTCCCTATTTATATATATATATATGGTAACCGGCGGTTCAGTGAACTGGCGGTCCAGAAATCACTATCTTTATATCAAACTGACCAGACTACATATTTATTTATATGCTAATCTATTGCAAAAAAGAATCGGTACCAACATCGTGCACAACCTCAATACGAACATGCATTAAAAAACATCTTTTGTCAATAAACATAATAAACGAGAAAATCACAATAATATAGAAGTTAATTATCCTCATTTAAAAATATCAAATTCAACTCATATATCACATTAATAGTATGATGGATTTAAGTTTATCTCATTACATTTCTGTATAATTTTTTTTTCAAAAATGTTTATCACATTTTCATAAATTTGTTTATATGTTTTATTTATATATCGTTTTCTTTTTAAAGTAAGAAAAATTCCATTAACATCCTAATTTACTAATCGTAGTCTATCTGAGTTTGTCAAATATATTTCTGCATACAAATGATAATTAGTTTGTGATAATCCGAGTTTGTTTTATTCTGAATTTGTTATATTTCGATTTTGTGATAGGCCAATTTTGTTTTAGTCCGAGTTATCCTGAACTTATTCAGCAGCGTTGTAATCCACACTTGTACGAAAAATCACAAGGTAGCTGACAGAAATTTTCAATGTGTTCGCTTCAACCAATATTTAATTACTTTCCCTTGCCTTTCTCGCAATTAAAGATACACCAGTATGTAGGTAATTGATTTATCTTTACTCTAAAACAACTTTCATGTACCTTGAGAATAACCCTTGAACAGAATAACACACTTGAGATGAGAATTATTGACCTTTTTCTAGACCATTGAATTTGTAATTTTTCGTACGGGTGTGGTTAGTAAACCCCATATTGACAGAAACAAATGCCTGTGGATTGTAGAGTAAATGGGGGGAGGGGGTAAATCCCTCCAATATCTTGAGCACCACAGGTAATCTGTGTAATCAGAGCAACAGGCTTTAAAATATGACATTAAACTACTACTGCATGTGGGATTGCAGGTCTATGTTTATGTCTGCGCACTACACGGTGGAATTAGTCTGTACAGCATCATATAAGCAGAATATATACACGAATTCGTCTAAATACATCCATTTGTCCCTCCCTCCTAAACTTGACCCCTGTTGTGTTCATTTATAACTACAATGACTACTGGTATGGTCTAGAAACTGTGGTCAGCTTTCTGCCTATGTCATTTACGAATTTAGACAAGACTTGTGCATCATGACGTGTATTTTAAGTGTTATATTGATATGAAATAAAATGAGAAATAAGTACATTTATATCCCTACCGAGGTCTAAAAGAAATGAAAGATAGCAGCTTCTGTCTGTCTGTCTGTCTGTCTGTCTGTCTGTCTGTCTGTCTGTCTGTCTGTCTGTCTGTCTGTCTGTCTGTCTGTCTGTCTGTCTGTCTGTCTGTCTGTCTGTCTGTCTGTCTGTCTGTCTGTCTTTCTTTCTTTCTTTCTTTCTTTCTTTCTTTCGGGGGTCTAGTGGCAAAGTAGCTTATAAGTTTTAGTACTGTAATCACTAGCCAAACAAGACTGAGGTTGTGAATTTGAACCCTGTCCATGCAGTGGCACTCGACTTAAAAGTGGCATTTAATCACCAAAAATTAATCAATCCTGAAAATCTAATTAAATAGTGAGGTCTGCAGATATATACCATGTCAAAGCATTATGTTCATGCATCTTATTGTTTTATAGATTAACTCTTTGGATCAAATTATGTTTTTATTTTCAGGAAATAATGGAAGAAACTAGTGAAAAGGTTCCAGAAAAACAGAGTATGTTGTTATATGTACCTCATACATGTACATGTACAAAAATGTATTTGAATTAATTTGCAAATGTTTGGGTTAAATAAAAATGAATTGAATGAATTGATTTGTCACTTGGCACAGTCAAACATAATTAACTGATGCTCTGAGACCACAGTTATTTCATAGTGCATTTCTTGTAGTCAATTAATGAAAAATTTAAACCATCTGCGCTCCTCAATAATATTTTTATACGACTAAAATCCAATTGTGTGCTCCCAGATGTTATAATATAAAGTTGAGATCTAAGACTACATTTTTTCAAAAGTGAGGAAACAACTACATAGACAATGAAAGAAGCAGAATAAATAATATTTGATTTTTAAAGGTACAAAATGTAAAACTGAAGTACAGTTTTTATACGACCGCAAAAAAATTTTTGTGGTCGTATATTGGTATGACGTTGGCGTCGTCGTCGTCCGGCGTAGTCGTCGTCGTCGTCCGGCACTGTCCGGCGTCGTCCGAAGACACATTGGTTTTCGCACTCTAACTTTAGTTTAAGTGAATGGATCTTTATGAAATTTTACCACAAGGTTCAATACCACAAAAGGAAGGTTGGGATTGATTTTTGGGGTTATGGTAATAACAGTAAAGGAATTAGGGGCCAAAAAGGGGCCAAAAATAAGCATTTTTGTAACTTCCAGACATAACTTGTGTGTTAGTGTATGGATCTCTCTGACATTGTACCACAAGGTTCCATATCACTAAAGGAATGCTGGGATTGATTTTGGGGGTAATTGCCTCCAAATTTTAGGAATTAGGGGCCAAAAAAGGGGCAAAAAACAAGCATTTTTCTAGTTTCATGACAATAACTTGTGTGTAAGTGTATGGATCTTTCTGAAATTGTACTACAAGGTTCCATATCACAAAGGGAAAGCTGGGTTTGAGTTTGGGGGTAATTGCCCTAAATGTTTAGGAATATGGGGCCAAAAAGGGGCCAAAAAACACATTTTTTTCTAGTTTCCAGACAATAACTTGTGTTCAAGTGTATGGATCTCTCTGAAATTGTACTGCAAGGTACCATACCACAAAGGGAAGGCTGGGATTGAGTTTGGGGGTGATGAATCATAATGGGGGTTCAAAAAATTTGGGGGGGGGATTTATTTTTTTTTCCTTTTTTTTCTTTTTTTCCTTTTTTGTTTCTTTTAAAATTTTCCATTTTAAGTTGGTTATTTCTGATTTATATTTAAAAGCAAATAATAATGATATGGTAGGAGATACACACCAAACAGGATGTGTAAATTATTATATAATAAGTATTGTGCAATAGCAAGACATTTTCAATTGCACAGTATTGCACAATAGCAAGAAATCTTCAATTGCACAGTATTGCGCAATAGCAAGAAATCTTCAATTGCACAGTATTGCGCAATAGCAAGAAATATCCAATAGCACAATATTGCGCAATAGCAAGAAATTGTCAATTGTACAGTATTGCGCAATAGCAAGAAATATTCAATTGCACAGTATTGTGCAAAAGAAGATACTTCGTATAAATTGCTTATTTCTTGATCAATTTCAATGGGGTTTTATTCTTGAATTCTTGGGGTTCTTTAATATGCTGAATCTAACCGTGTATTAAGTTTTTGGATTTTGGGCCCCGTTTTTAAATTGGTCCACATTGAGGTCCAAAGGGTCCAAAATTTAACTTTGTTTGATTTGATCAAAAATTGAATTATTGGGGTTCTTTGATATGCCGAATCTAACCGTGTATTTAGATTCTTAATTTTTGGTTCCGTTTTCAAATTGGTCTACATTTATAAGGTCCAAAGGGTCCAAAATTAAACTAAGTTTGATTTTAACAAAAATTGAATATATGGGGTTCTTTGATATGCTGAATCTAACCATGTATTTAGATTTTTGATTTTTGGGCCCCGTTATCAACTTTGTCCACATTGAGGTCAAAAGGGTCCAAAATTAAACTTTGTTTGATTTCATCAAAAATTGAATTCTTAGGGTTCTTTGATATGCTGAATCTAAACATGTATTTAGATTTTTGATTATGGGCCCAGTTTTCAAGTTGGTCCAAATCGGGGTCCAAAATTAAACTTTGTTTGATTTCAACAAAAATTGAATATATGGGGTTCTTTGATAAGCTGAATCTAACCATGTATTTAGATTTTTGATTTTTGGGCCCCGTAATCAACTTTGTCCACATTGAGGTCCAAAGGGTCCAAAATTAAACTTTGTTTGATTTCATCAAAAATTGAATTATTGGGGTTCTTTGATATGCCGAATCTAACTGTGTATTAAGTTTCTTAAATTTTGGTTCCGTTTTCAAATTGGTCTACATTAAGGTCCAAAGGGTCCAAAATTAAACTTAGTTTGATTTTAACAAAAATTGAATTCTTAGGGTTCTTTGATATGCTGAATCTAAACATGTATTTAGATTTTTGATTATGGGCCCAGTTTTCAAGTTGGTCCAAATCGGGGTCCAAAATTAAACTTTGTTTGATTTCAACAAAAATTGAATATATGGGGTTCTTTGATATGCTGAATCTAACCATGTATTTAGATTTTTGATTTTTGGGCCCCGTTATCAACTTTGTCCACATTGAGGTCAAAAGGGTCCGAAATTAAACTTTTGTTTGATTTCATCAAAAATTGAATTCTTGGGGTTCTTTGATATGCTGAATCTAACCATGTATTTAGATTTTGGATATTGGACCATAATAGGTGAATGTCCAATTTAAAATTTTTAAGTTCTTAGACCACATTCAATCTGTGTTAGAAACCTATGCTGTGTCAAATATTTAATCACAATCCAAATCCAAAGCTGTATCAAGCTTGAATGTTGTGTCCATACTTCCCCCAACTGTTCAGGGTTCGACCTCTGCGGTCGTATCAAGCTGCGCCCTGCGGAGCATTTTATTAGTTTAATAGTGAGATGAATGTAGGATAAATGTACTTATATTATACATTTGTTTCAGAACAAAAGAAAAAATTGAGAAATGTTATTGATGGCAAAACCAGGGTAATTATGAAATTATTTTATTCTATTCTTGTATATAATGTATTTTTTTAACAAAAATATAAATACAACAACATTATTTTGTGTTAACATCAGTACATAAGTTAAAAACAGAACAAAATTGTTTTAAACTGTAAGTCAAATTTTAATATCACAATAGAAAACATCTGTATGATAACATTAAATAATTCCATTCCTTATTTTTAAAATGCATTTACTAGAGAGAAAAAAAATACATATTATCCACCACTGAGTTTTTTTCCCAATTACCATTTGGTCCAAATATGCTATTTTAGATTTCATACTTGCTTTATACATGATATCTCTTTAAATCCCTTCTTTTGTTGTTAAAAGCTTTAATTTCACAAATATGAAACTTGTAGTTAAATCTTGACAGTTATCTTACAGTAATAAATAAATTATTTTCATTGAAAGTTTTCACTTTAATACAGACATGAGCATATTATTAATAAATCTATTTGTAAATAAGATAGTTTTAAATGGCATTCAACATTTCTGTCTAAGAAAGGAAATTAAACATAAGGGAACAAAAACGGGTTGCTTTTGTTATTATTTTTTTTTATAAATTTTGTTTTCCTTGCCGTTGTCAGTTATGTATAAAAAGAGACATTTCTTTCAGTTTTTTTTTTTTGGAAAAATCCTTTTACAATAAATCTATGCAGAATTTAATTTGTATCAAATGATATATCAAATTTCAATTGCTTCAATATTTAAACAATTCAATTGATTTATTTGTTAGAAAAATGTAACCTAATCAATAAAGATTTTCTCTGTAGGTGTTGCCAGTACCAGAGTGGAAAGCTCAAGAGCAAAATGCTCTGAAAAGAGTGAAGCGTTTGGCCAATAAGGTTTGAATAAGTGTTAGCCAAACTATATTAAATAAGTGTAAAAAGCAACCAAAAAAGTCATGATTATGATTTTAATTACATTCAATTATCATAAAGTATTATGTACCAATTCAAAATCGAAATTATTGCTCAATAGATTTAGTACATGTCAAGTAGTTTTAACTTATTTTTGTAATTTTAGCTGAACAGCAGTATTTCAAGAATAAAAACTCTTTGAGAAAAACACAACATTACAACCTTTTTCATCAGGCTCAAACAAATATTTTAAGAAAGAGAAAAACATTTTATTATAAATCATGAGAACAGATACACAGGCAAATTTTGTTCACGTAAATTTCACGTGAAAATCACGTGAATTTCACATGAAATTTTTCACGTGAGATTCACCTCAAACGAGCTTATACATGAAACTCACGTGAAATTTTTCACGTGAAACTCACGTTAAATTTACGTGAATTTCACGTGAATCGAGCTTTCACGTGATATTCACATGAAATTTTTCACATGAAATTAACGTGAATCGAGCTTTCACATGAAATTCATGTTAAATTTTTCACGTGAAATTAATGTGAATCGAGCTTTCACATTATTTTTTTTAAATGAAATTAAGGTGAATTGAGTCTCAATCACACAAATTTCACAGTATTTGAGCATATTTTAGATAAGTAAATGCTAATCTAGTACACATTCTATTTTGATATATATAAATATTCTTCTTGGTCTTGAGAATGTATTCATACTTCCATTCTATTTTACTTTCTCTTTGTATCTTAAATTTCTTGGTCCTAAACAATACAAATAATATTTATTCATCAACTCCAACTCACAATATCTTCAATGCAGCAGATAGATTCAAGAACCAAGAAGGCAAGCAAATATCCAGGGCACCATAGTTCACTCCTAGAACATTTTTGGTTGTGTTCAAGTCTCAATATTTTTGTTAATTTGATGTATGGAAGGTGATTTATTTATAGAAGATGTATGCACTGATGTATATTTCATTTTTAATATGTATGTATAAGTCTTTTTGTGTTCATCAGTTTTGAGACATTCCAATCACATTATGGACAAGTATTACTTGCAAAAGATGCCAATTCTTCTTATGAGAGTTTTGAAGAAAAAAGGTAGTTCACCCTGCCACATACTCATGTACTCTGGTCAATTAAAACAGATCATGACATATTGTTTAGACACCTGTCTATTGTTGAGGACTTTTCAGGTGTTTTTGTTGTTGTGTTACTGTCTGATTGATTTATACCTCAAACCTCATTGTATTAATAAACTGAAATAGAAAGTTCTGTGAAATATATTTGATATACCATATTGAAAGTCTTGCTGTTTTTTACAACCATTTCTTTCTTATTTCATATATGGTTTTCAGTTTTTCATTTTACCACTGATGTTAAGGTTAAGTCAAAAAGAAAATAAAAGGTGACAAACAACAGGCATATACCATTAAAAGATCTCAAAGTTTGGCTTCACAATAAGCTAAAAATTCTTGTTATTTATATATTTATAAAAAATTCATTTTAAAACAAGTATTTTCCATTTTTAGACAGTAACTGTCATGTTGACACAATAATTTGAATTAGAATTGTATGATATGCTGAAAGTACTTGTAGTTGAAAAAAAATATACACAATATTTAATTCCAGGTGTTTAGATTTCTAGAATGCACCACTCCCATATCATGACTACATGTTAGTAATGTTTAAGTGTTCTCTCCTGCATGTAATTGCTACATGTATTTATACACAAGGCTTCCTTCATACATTTGCACTTATCCTTCTAAGATGTTGCTTCCATGATAAAATCCTGTAGTTGCATAATCAGCCATAAACTCTTGGAATACATTTGCTGTAATAAAAAAAAACCCAGCATATATTATTTTGTAAAATATACATCAAATTAAATATTGCCTTACTATTCAAGCAAAAATGATAACATCAATTTAATATTTAAACTTACCGGGTACATATATGTATATACTTTTATAAATTGTGACTTGGATGGAGAGTTGTCTCATTGGCACTCATACCACATCTTCATCTATGTATATAATCATGCATGTATATTGTGTGTGTATATACTGAAGTGGAATATTAATAGTTGTTGTTTGTTGCTGCACTACTTTTTGATTACCTCTGCTATGGAGCTTGTGGAGGTTTATAATGGTTGAAATTTGCCACGAAATCTGGAATTTGTAAACATTACAGATGGAAATCAAAATGCTCTGATCATTCTGATGATATAAACCTATTTAATATTAATTTCATAAAATTCTGGCAAGAATTGTACACAAGAGCCATAACAATGCAATTTTCCAAATAATTAATGTTTCCAAGGGGCATAACTCTTTTAACAAGAGTGCACACGCTGAAATGTCTCGCCTTCTTTACTAATCATTGATATTATGTTGATAGTCCTAAATATAAAGCTTTATTACAACTGTCACATAAACTTAACATTAACCAAGAAAACTAAACATTGACCAACGAACCATGAAAATGAGGTCAAGGTCAGATGAACCATGCCAGGCAGGCATGTACAGCTAACAATTCTTCCATACAACAAATATAGTTGACCTATTGCTTATAGTTTAAGAAAAACAGACCAAAACACAAAAACTTAACACTGAGCAATCAACTGTGAAAATGAGGTCAAGGTCAAATAAAACCTGCGCGACTGACATATAGATCATAAAATATTTCCATACACCAAATATAGTTGACCTATTGCATATAGTACTAGAAAAAAAGACCAAAACTCAAAATCTTAACTTTGACCACTGAACCATGAAAATGAGGTCAAGGTCAAATGACACCTGCCAGCTAGACATGTACACCTTACAATCATTCCATACACCAAATATAGTAGACCTATTGCATACAGTATAAGAAAACAGACCAAAACACAAAAACTTAACTATAACCACTGAACCATGAAAATGAGGTCAAAGTCAGATGACACCTGCCAGTTGGACATGTACACCTTACAGTCCTTCCATACACCGAATATACTTGACCTATTGCTTATAGTATCTGAGATATGGACTTGACCACCAAAACTTAACCTTGTTCACTGATCCATGAAATGAGGTCGAGGTCAAGTGAAAACTGTCTGACGGGCATGAGGACCTTGCAAGGTATGCACCCAGTAAATACAGTTATCCTACTACTTATAATAAGAGAGAATTTAACATTACAAAAAATGTTAACTTTTTTTTCAAGTAGTCACTGAACCATGAAAATGAGGTCAAGGACATTGGACATGTGACTGACGGAAACTTCGTTACATGAGGCATCCATATACAAAGTATGAAGCATCCAGGTCTTCCACCTTCTAAAATATAAAGCTTTTAAGAAGTTAGCTAACGCCGCCGCCGGATCACTATCCCTATGTCGAGCTTTCTGCGACAAAAGTCGCAGGCTCGACAAAAATGAATGATTGGCACTGATTTTAAAACTTGTCAGATATTGTTGATATTACCTATCAAAATAAGTTTCCTAAAAATTTGACAAGAATTGTACAAGAAATGCAAGTGAGAGCGCTTATAAGGCCAAAGGGATAGACAGACTCCAGGTATTTTTATGTCCCCTGTGTTTTATGGTGCTTGTCCTAAAGATATAAGAATAATTATAAGTTTACGATAAGGACCAAATATACTTAACATTACCAATGATTCATAAAAATATACTGCCAAGCAATTTATATTAAGGTCAAGTTCAGATAAACCAAGCCAGACAGACATGTGCACCTTACAACATGTACAATTATTGCATACACCAAACTAGAGGCTCCAAGGACCCTGTGTCGCTCACCTGATATTTTTATTTACAATTGATGCATGAAATAATGTAACTGTTATACTTTGCTTTAGTTTCAGAGATACAAGTCAAAAACTGCATTTTCCCTCTATGTTCTATTTTTAGCCATGTCTGCCATGTTTTTAAAAACTAGATCCCCTAATGATGATTGTGGCCAAGTTAAGTTTATTTGTCTCTGTTGTTTCAGGAGAAGACTGTTGTGAATTAAAAAAAATTACGAAAAATTGGTAAATTTGACTTTAAAGGACAATAACTCCTTATCAGGTCAATTGACTATTTTGGTCATGATGACTTATTTGTAGATCTTGCTTTGCTGAACATTATTGCTACATGTATTTACAGTTTATCTCTATCTATAATAATATTCAAGATAATAACCAAAAACTAAAAAATTTCCTTAAAATTACTAATTCAAAGGCAGCAACCCAACAACAGACAGATATATTATATATCATAATCTGATGAACATATTTTACCCCATGTCAAATTGTCTCTAAATGCTTTACTTTCAGAGATATAATCCAAAAACTGCATTTTACCACTATGTTCCATTTTAAGCAATGTCTGGTAGGCGGGGTCATCAGACACATTTTTTACACTAGATACCCTAATGATGATTGTGGCAAATATTGGTTAAATTTGGCCAAGTAGTTCTAGAGGAGAAGATTTTTGAAAAAGTTAACCGACGACGACGCCAAGTGATGAGAAAAGCTCACTTGGCCCATTGGGCCCAGTGAGCTAAATAAACAGCTGCGCCATGAGCGCATGATACGCCAGTTGTCTTGTGTGTGAATTTTTATGCAATAATCATAAACAGTTTCTGACATACGGCGCAACATGCGAAACCCCCCCAACCCCCCCCCTTTTTTTTTTACAAAAAACTCAATATCTCTAAAATAAAATTTTGAATCAAAACCAAAAAGTATACAGATCTTTAGATTAATATAACTAAGAAGTGTGCAAAATTTTAAGCAATAATCATAAATCGTTTTTGAGATACGGAGCGACATGTGAAAACCCCCCTTTTAAAAAAAAAATCAATATCTCTAAAATAAAATTTTGAATCAAAACCAAAAAGTATACAGATCTTAAGATTAGTATAACTAAGAAGTGTGTAAAGTTTTAAGCAATAATCATCAATTGTTTTTGAGATACGGCGCGACATGCAAAAAAAAACACACACCTGTTTTAGTTACTAAGTCCTGTAACTCAAAAAGTTTTAATCTTATTTTCACCAAAAAGTATACAGATGGTTTGACCATCATAAGAAACAACTATCTTATTTTTCATGAAATTATGATAAGTCGTTCTCAAGTTACGGTGCGACATGTTTACGCCGGACAGACAGACGACATTTGTATACCATAATACATCCCGCGTATAAAAAGCTGATCTTTTAATTGATTATACATGTAGCATGTATAGTATACACCAAACAGACTAAATTATTGAATCATAATATTGACCAATGAACCATCCAAATCAGATCATGCATGGTCAGATGAACTCTGTCCAGACAGACATCATGGACATGTACAACTTACAATCATTCCATACATCATATATACTTGACATATTGCCTACAAGAAATAAAAGTTAACATTGACCAATGAACCATGGAAATGAGGTCATTGTTCATTCTAAACACCAAATACAGTTGATCTACTCAAGTTCTGCTTACTATATCTGAGAAAAGGACCGACATGTGTTAATCACGTAACTTTTACCTTGACAGCTCCATGAAGTAAGGTCAGTCGATCCTGTCTCACAGACATGTACGTGTACATATAAACATTGCAAGGAACCAATATTCCAAATACAGATATCCTAATTTACTCATAATGTAAAAAAAAAGAAATTCACAAAGCAAAAAAGCCTAAACTTTTTTTCAAGCAGTCGCTGAACCATTAAAATGTGGTCTAACATGGCCAACCAACATATGATGGACAGAAACATTATAACAAAAGGCATCTGTATACAATTTATGAAACATCCAAGTCTACTACCCTATGAAATATACATTGTAAAGCTTAATAATACAAATAGTAAAACCCAGCAGCCACTACCATATGCATGGACTTCCCTTTTTTGAAATTGCCTTCAGTATTTTTGTTATTGTTATACCATTTGGACTATTAATACTGTAACAAATGTACATACCAGTTACATATACATGTACTGTAGATATAGGATCTCCTCTACGTCTTATCCCATCATTAATCATATTAATTTCATTGAAACATATCATGTGTATTACTTCCATTCCACTGAAATCTGAGGAGCTAATTCTGAAAATTTAAATTCCTGTGATTATCATGTAAAACACCTGAACCTGATGCACTGCTTTCCGTTAAAAAATAAATTGGCAATACAGTTCTCTCTTGGTCATGTTGGTGAATATTTCAAAAAAAATATTTAACAAGAGAGAAAATAAGTGTCAGTTTTTAAAAAAATTTATATTACCAATACTGGTAATTACCGTAGAATGTCACTAGTTTTCTGATTTGATTTGACATTTATTGTTATTCATTTTTCAGGATCTTGTACAGCTGACACTACAGTATGGTTTTGTTCATTGTTGTAGGTCATAAAGTGACCTAAAATTTCTTACATCCCCTTCATTTCGACTGGCAGAAAGTTTTCTCATTGGCAATCCTACCCATCTCCTTATTTTTAAAATACTAAATATTTTCAATCTGTGACAATAAAATTTTATTGATTTAATATAAAGGTATTCTGATCAACACTATGAGGCAATGTTCAAAACACTCTGTCATTGTCAGCGATCAAATTTATTTTAACTCCAATGGCAATGTATTTGTGCAAGACTCAAAAGTACTGCACATGTTCATGATATACCCACATACATGTACATATACAATGTACTTAATAAATCAGTGAGACCTAAAATGTAGGTCAACTAGATACGCCCGCAGAGGTCCAACCCTGAACAGTTGGTGCAAAAAAAAATACACAATATTCAAGCTTGATTCGGATCTGAATTTGGATTGTAGTTAAATGTTTGGCATATTATAGGTTTCTGAATAAATGTAGTCAAAGAACTTGAAATTGGTTATATGAATTGAATTTATAGATTTCTTGCTGTTGTGCAATACTTAGTAAATCTGTTGTCAGACTATAAACAAATAAAAAAAAAGTTCAATTAATTCTCAATGTCATACTAGAAATTTATGAAAATAAAAAGGGAGCTTACATCAATAGATATAAACAATTCACCAAAGTTTCATGAGAATTGGTGACAGCATTTTTGAGTTATTGTCCGAAAACTGGAAAATCACCCCTTTTTTTATTGAATAAAACCCCATAACTCAGAAATGTAAAATGTAAAATTTACAAAATTCTAAAGGGAGCTTACATCAATACATACAAACAATTCACCAAAGTTTCATAAGAATTGCTGAAAGCATTTTTGAGTTTTTGTCCGAAAACTGGAAAATCCCCCCTTTGTTTATGAATAAAACCCTGTAACTCGGAAACGTAAAATCTAAAATTTATAAAAAACGAAAGGGAGCTCATGTCAATAGATATAAACAATTCACCACAATTTCTTGCAAGTTGGTGAAAGCATTTTTGAGTTAATGTCCGACATGTTGACGACGGACGGACAGACAGAGGTATACCATAATACGTCCCGTAAACAGGCGTATAAAAAGATATCATGCTGCATCATAATTTATACAATGCAAGTCATAATCATGTACATGATATTTGAACTTTATAATAGTAAAGGATAGATAGTCTGACCAGTAATAAAGCCACACAACACTGTGTGACAACAGTGAAATATAAGTCCCCCATAGATGCACATACCTTTATTGTAGGTCTTTTGTATATACAATGTATACGTTTAAGGTTACTTAGAATTGGCTGTCGACATACATGTACACATGCCAGTACTGTCATGCATGTTCAGAATCATTGGACCCTAGGTTACTCCAGTCCATTATCAGTCAACTCCTCTGACCATTTGTTGTAATACAATGTACTGCTGAAAGGGAGAAAACAGTACTTTATTAACAGCATGTAGATGCAAGACTATAAAAAGTATTCAAAGAGTTTTGCAAACAATTAGCTTATATATTTATTGTTTACTAATATTAAACATGTATTATCAAACATCAAAAAGCAATGGATTGAAGTTGCTATTAACATGATTAAGAACAACAAAGAAAAATTAAAGTTAAATTTTTTACCCTTTAGACCTTTATTATGGTCCAATATCAAAAATCTAAATACATGGTTAGATTCAACATATCAAATATTCCAAAGAATTCAATTTTTGATGAAATCAATCAAAGTTTAATTTTGGACCCTTTTGACCTCAATGTGGACCAATTTGATAACGGGGCCCAAAAATCAAAAATCTAAATACATGGTTAGATTCAGCATATCAAAGAACCCCCATACATTCAATTTTTTTTTTAAATCAAACTAAGTTTAATTTTGGACCCCAATTTGGACCAACTTGAAAACTGGGCCCAAAATCAAAACTCTAAATACATGTTTAGATTCAGCATATCAATGAACCCCAAGAATTCAATTTTTGTTAAAATCGAACTAAGTTTAATTTTGGACCAAAAAAATTCCCCCCCCCCAAATTTTTTGAACCCCCTTATGATTCATCACCCCCAAACTCAATCCCAGCCTTCCTTTTCTGGTATGGTACCTTGCAGTACAATTTCAGAGAGATCCAGACACTTGAACACAAGTTATTGTCTGGAAACTAGAAAATGCTTATTTTTGGCCCTTTTTCCTAATCGTTTAGGGCAATTACCCCCAACTCAATTCCAGCTTTTCCTTAGTGATATGGAACCTTGTAATACAATTTCAGAAAAATCCATACACTTACACACAAGTTATTGTCATGAAATTAGAAAAATGCTTGTTTTTGCCCCTTTTTTGGCCCCTAATTCCTAAAATTTTGAGGCAATTACCCCCAATATCAATCCCAGCATTCCCTTTGTGATATGGAACCTTGTGGTACAATGTCAAAAAAATGCTTATTTTTGGCCCATTTTTGGCCCCTAATTCCTTAACTGTTGGTACCATAACCCCCAAAATCAATCCCAACCTTCCTTTTGTGGTATTGAACGTTATGGTAAAATTTCATAGAGATCCATTCACTTAAACTAAAGTTATTGTGTGAAAACCAACGTGTCTTCGGACGACAACAACGCCAACGTCATACCAATATTATATACGACTGCAAAAATTGTTTGCGGTCGTATAAAAATGTTGCAAATAAGAAATTTTGTCAATTTGTAGTTTTACCAACATTTTAAACATACAGTTTTAGTTTATATCTAATTATTAGTAAAATTGAAATAAATGAACCTTTTGCTTTATTTAAATAGCATGGTTTTTGCCTTTGATGCAATAATATTAATTCAGCTATCAATTTGATTTTTGTTGAAAAAATGCTAAAATAAAGGCTCTAAATAATGAACTTTCCTTTCTTAACAGATATTAAAATTTTACTGTTCACCATCAAAATTTTACTGTTCGTGAGTGTTGAAATTAGGGGGGGATTAAAATAATAATACTTAAAGAAGTGATTTTTTAAAATAAATAGAGGTCATGGAGGTATGATTCTTAAACACATGAACAAGTGATTTTCATGTCAATATCCCAGATTCAGTACAAGGTTATCATTTGACATGACTGGACATGCTATAAACACAGATGTATGTTCTGGTAATTTGGCAACATAATTAGTCCATGTATTATACATTTAAAGCTACAATAAAATTAAATCACTCAGTCTAGTGATTTATTTGTACATGTACTACTTAAATTGGTGATTATTGAAGAATGACAACTCTTACTTCCAACATTTGTGGACACAATGTCATTTGAATCAGTGATTAAGAAAATCACTCATTTAAGTAAGTCCCCTGAAAGATTAAAAACAGATCCAAAAATACAAGATAAGTTTAATTCCAGCATATTAAAGTACATGTACCCGAAAAATTCAAGACTTTGCATTAAACTTCATTGAAATTGGTCAAGAAATAGGTAACTTGTACAGTGTATTAGAAAAGTATTGTTTAGGTCCCTTAGGCCAGGGTTTTTTTATTTGTTGGTTTACGGATCCGCTGACCCTATTTTTCTGATTTGCAGAATAAAAATAAAATTGACCATTCATGCTTTTTTATTCCCGCTGACCCTTTGCAATTTTTCCATTTATAAAAGGGCATAACTCTAGAACGGTTAAAGTGACGCCACCAAAATTCAAACTTGATCTGTGTTTTGTGGTAATAAGCATTGTGAATAAGTTTCATAACATTTGGTTGAGGCAAACTTAAAGTTAGAGAACGGAAACTAAAAATTTTGCAATTTTTTCATTTATAAAGGGGCATAACTCAGTGTTCTAGCCAGGATTTGAAAAGGGCAGGGTGCTAGTCAGAAAAAGGGCAATTTTACACATAAATGTCATTGTACAAAGGGCAATTTAACGTGTAATTTTAATTGAAAGAAGGGCAATTGATTAAGCCTCATAATTAATTAGCATATAACTTAGGCACTATGGTAAAATCAAGTTTCAGTTAAAATGGAGTAATATAATTCAATACTTTTGGCAAAAATTTTTATGGTTTATTTCAAAGTTCATGATGTTGAGACACTCTTTAGCATCTTTAGTTTAGTATATAGGGAAATTAAACTTATATTTAACACAATATACATTTATTTACAGTGACAAAGGGAGATATGAAGATTTGTTCACCCAAGAATATTCATAATTCATGAGGGCTCTACTTTTCGTCCTGTTTCTAAAGCTTACATGTATACAAATAAATTATATATTTTCCGACAATGCACATATATTGTATATTTATGTTTATAACAGCTGAGCAATAATAATTCATGGAACTAGAATTTAAGCGATGACAAGATACATGTAGCAAACCAAACATTTTGTTAGTAAGGTGAAATATATTTTTTCTGTCTTGAAAGATATTTTTTTTCTTTTTATTCTCGACCGACCGACTCAACTTTTTCATGTGTAAAATGTGCAAACCAACAAATTAAAAAACCGTGGCCTTACCATGCTAACTCCTGAATGGTTAAGGCCATAACCCTCCTAAATCGATCCCAACCTTCCTTTTTTTGGTATGAACCTTGAGGTTCAATTTCATAGAGATCCATAGAAATGTATGGGATTTGCTCATAATTGAAGGCCGTACCGTGACCTGTAGTTATTTACTTCTATGTCATTTGATCTAGGATGGAGAGTTGTCTAATTGGCAATTATACCACATCTTCTTATTTTTATATTATATTCAAATTAATGTATGGAAACCAGAAAATCCTTGTTTTTGGGCCCTAAATTCATTATTGTATATGCAACTTGTCATGGTAAAACTATACATGTACAACATTCATGATTCATGACAATTACCAAATCAATATCTCCAAGTATAACAAACAAAGAAAGTGAAAAACAGATTATTTGCGGCATTGCCTGAATTTTCTAAGTCCAAGGACCATAGCTATGCAAAGAAAAACATCTCACCAGAATAAATATTGAACTTGATCTGTAAATTTGTCATGGTAAAACTATATACAATGTATAAATATCAAATCAGTATTTTCAAGCATTACTTAAAGTCCCCTTGGCTTTGCTGGTAGGGGACTAATAAACATTTTAATATTTGTTATCATGGTTTTATCTATTTCAATCATGCATGTATGTTTTTCAATTTTCAGAAATAATTGTTTTTTTAAAAGTTGCATGTAAATTCTCAAAGTATAACCTGTGACGAAAAGTTGGTTATACAACTTCAACTAAAGTGTGTATCCTTGTGTTTGTGCTGTGTTGTTGAGTGTATTAGTTTCAGGTCGTGCCTTTCACTCGTACACAGTGTCACTGATTACAGTGTTACGTGATTACCCTAGAAAAGAACTGGTAGCGTGATTGAGGGAGTCCTGGTGTAGTCTGAACTAAGTCTTGCCAGTGAACATAAACACAAAGTTGATTAAAAGTTCAATACTCATTACTGAATTATTCAAAATCCAAAGTAACAGTAATATAAGTTTACAACATCTAAACTGCAGGCTCAACAATACAGTGGCATAATCTTAAATCTCTGAAGTACATTTCTTTCGTTACCGTACACAAAATCGTTAATCCTTCTCTACAGCTATTTCTCTCTTTTATACCTCTATTTGCCCTGGTAACCTGATTACAATATGGTTAAATGACTCTGAACAAAGAAATAATCAACCGGAGCTAGGGCTTCAGGAGCCCGGAGCTGAGGTCAATTCATAGAATCATACATTATTTTTTCAAACCATGAGTTGGATGACGAAGATGGAATTTTTTCTTCGAGTTTTCTTGTTTTGTATCAACTTTTGAGTATACATGTGTGTGTGTCTAATGAGTGTTTATTTTAAACGGAGTTTTACAACTGTGAACTGATCAGGTCAAAAGCTGAAAAACATTCTCACTATTTCTGTTTATTTCTGCACTATTAAATCATTTATTTAAGTTACCTGTTTTATTTCCTCGAGTTTCTTTGCGTTCATAACTCCTTGATTGTGTTTGTCTCGTTAAATAAACAGAAACAAGTACTTGTTCAAGTTGTTGTCAGTTGGTTACCGGCGTCTTCAATTTGCATCATTCATCTGAATCTTTCAAGCGTTTTAAAAAACCGACCTCCGGTCACGGATATCGTCACGAAGAATAGTTATCCATGTGCAAATAGTACATGCTGGTTTCCCCATTCAATAGTCTATTATAGACCAATATCCAATGTTTCTTAGCATAATCAGCATCCCGACTTTACTGACTCAATTCATTTTTAAAATGATATTTACTGCATAAAGTCCTGACTAAGTAAGACATATAAATGAACAAATAACAAATTCTTTTGTTTACAAGCATCATTTACATAGGAGCACCCCTTTAGTAGAGCATTAAGTTTAACCCTTAAAACTATTTGATATATTTTAATATAATATAAACTATATTGTTAGATATAATTTCATTGAAGTTATTTCATTTAGTTGAAGACTATATATGTTTAATCCAATTAACAGCCTGTCTAATTGGCAATTATACCCTCACATTTATTACAGCTAAATAATATAAGAGACATGCCTCTGGTAATAATTTAATGTCAATTAATAATTTTCGATAACATACATAGCACATTAATGCATTTGCCTGGGACACTATATAGGACTTAAAATATGTTTATTATCTATAAATTTGCTTCAGTAATTCCCAATATAATCAACCAAAATTTTTCCCACAAAAGGGGGGGGGGGCAGATGATATATGTGGATACCCCGACTACCCTACTTTTTAGTCTTAGTAATAGCCTACCCTAAAGATTTTTTTGTCATTTTTCATTAAGCACTGTTAAGTCAGAATGTTACTCCCATAGACTCAATGTAAAAAAAAACACAACATAAAATTTAAATAAATCCCTACCTAATTACTACTGAAATTATAAAATTAATATTTAGTTTAAAATTTTTCCCATTGATTGACAAACCCTGACAACTCATTAACTCAAAAGGAAAAATTGAGAAATCTTGATCATTATAAAAAGGTTTATGAAATATTTTGAAGTGTACCAACACATAAATTGCAATCCAGTTGATACACATGCAATCCCTGAGAGAAGATATTTTCTTTTTTCTTTCTTTTTTTTAGATGAGGGAGTAGTTAGCATTTACCGCTTTTGTAATACACATTAAATCAAACATTTTTCATATTTCTGATAGCAAAGCAGTTTTAAAAATATACTGCACTTCCAATATGTTTACTTTGATAAACATTCAATTTTACATTTATTGACAACATTTGGCCCAATAAAATTCTTTTCAGCACACTTACTTATTTTTATTAATATGTCCTATTGTTAATCTTATGTGTGGTTCAAAGCTCAAAATTGTACTTTACTTATAAGTTTGAGGAAAAGTTTAATACACAGCAAAAAAGGGAGATAACTCAGGTTTTGAAGTGATTTTTTTCTTTGCAATTATGGAAAGTAAAGGATCTTAATTACAGTAACAGGAATCTATTTCAAAAGCTGGAGTTACCTCCCATATTTTATAAGAGTACAAAAATAAAGGAAACTTTAAATGTGTGAAAGAAATTAAGTTTACTGATAAATAAAAATAGAAATATTACTGATATAAATCAATATTAGCCCATCAATATATTCTAGGTATCTTAGGAATTTGAAATCAAAGATACAAATTCTATCCTTATTGCTCTACTAGAGATAAATATAAACAGTGATAGAAAATACAACTCAAAACCAACACTGATCTTTTTGTAGTTGCATCTAATCCACTATCAAGGGAGATAATTCATGCGAAAATAAAAAGATAAATATTAATCATTTGATGGTTATATGTCCCCCTTTTATGTAAATTATATTAAATTTTGTTAGAATTTTTTAATTTTTGTATTTCAAACAAATAAAATATCTATATTCTTATTCTAATTCTTCTTCAATAATTATTTTTACATTTTGGCGATTATGTCAAAATGGCAATAATTAGTGCACACACTTAATTATTTTAAACAGTGATTTTATCTTGTGCAAAACCAACCACTTAAGCACATTATATAAAAAATTAGCCTCAGTCAGATCAAATGAATTTCACGTGAATTTCACGTTAGTCAGATCATGTGAAATTCACGTGAGTCAAATCATGTGAATTTCATGTGAGTGAGATCACGTGAATTTCACGTGAAAAAAGTTTATGTGAAATTCACATGAATTTCACATGAGTTTCACGTTAACAAGTTCACGTTAAATTCACGTAAGTCAGATCATGTGAGTTTCACGTGAATTTCATGTGAATTTCACGTGAAAACTGTTCACGTGAAGTTCACATGAAAAATTCACGTGATATTCACGTGAGCAAAAATTCACGTGAAATTCATGTGAAACTCACGTGAATTTTACGTGACTTTCACGTGAAATGAGACTCACGTGAAATTCACGTGAACAAAATTTGCCTGTGTATATAATAAGATGTGGTATGAGTGCCAATGATGGCAATGAGACAACTCTCCTTCCAAGTCACAATTTGTAAAAGTTGACCATTATAGGTCACAGTAGGGCCTTCAACACCGAGCCTTGGCTCACATTGAACAGAAGCTAAAGGGCCCCAAGAATGACTAGTTTAAAACCATTCACACAGGAAAATGGTATTAAAGCATGAACTGAACTGTTCTATTATTTTAAAGTTCCCACCATTTCTGAGGGGACATTAAGTTTTAGCCTTGTCTGTACGTCTATACATCCCTAAATTGGTTTGTGTTCTCTAATTTCAGTTTGCCGAAACAAAATGTTATAAAACTAATACCTTATGCTTATTACAACAAACACAAATCCAGTTGAAATTTTGATGGTATCACTGTTACCATTCTAGAGTTATGCCCCTTTACAAATGGATAAAATTCTGATTTTTTCGTTTCTTGTCTCTAACTCCAGTTTGCATCAACCAAATGTTATGACACTCATACACAGTCATGACAGTGCATCTTTCCACAAAACTCAGATGAAGTTTAAATTTCAGTTGCCTCACTTTTATTGTTCTTAGTTTATTCTTATTGTCATTTAGATTTGAAATAATTCTTAAAGTTCTTAGAATGAGTTACCTTTGTATTAGGGTTATGCTGTCTTCTACAAGATATGCATTTTCTATTAAATTTATTATCTCTTATTTAATGGATTATTTGTTATAAAAATAAAAAATAAATATTTTTAGGTGAAAAGATTTTCAGCAGAAACAGCATTTCCACCTACGGGTTTTTTTTATATTCATGCTGGTGCTGTACATGCATTTGGTAAGTAGTATGACTTGTCTTTGCATTAATTTTTCAATTCAATGTTCAGTCAGTGGCTTTACTTAAACATGTACTTTTAGCTCAACCTAGCCAAAGAATTGGTTAAAAGGATGCATTTACCATAGTGTATACAATTCGGAAAAAAGTATATTTCTTGTCATTACAATTTATGTGTTTTTTGGTTTTTTTTTAAGGTCATGAACAAAGTTGCAGCATATTTTTTTCAAATGAAAATGTACAAAAGTTGGATGTAACAGTGATGGATACAGAAGTAACAAAAAAAGGTAAAATTAATTCATTGATAAATCTGTCATGTTCCTCAAATTCCCAGCATTTTATGAACAGAAGTTCAACTGGCCTAGATAGATCTGTCATCTTCATCAAATTAAATTTCATCTGTTCTCTGCAAAATTTGCCAAATTTCAGTATTAATAGGGAATCTCATTAAAAGAAGTCCTTTCCTTAAGTTGTTACCTTTTTGTTATATTCTTACTACCTAAGGGACAACATCAAAAGTTCAATGTAGGATAAAGAACTTAATTCATATAGTTTTTTCACTGACCCCCTACCCTCCTCTTAACTTAAATTGGGAAAAATCGATTGACCAATAAGGATATACATAAAATCAATGTCAATTAAACAAAACTTGCAGCAATTTTGACCCCCATTCCCCAACTATTTGAATTAATGTTTTTATCCTTCATTAATTTTTTGATGTCGTCCCTAATATATTATCAGTATGCATCTGATGTTTTTATACGACCGCAAAAATTAAAAATTTTTTGGTCGTATATTGGTATGACGTTGGCGTCGTCGTCGTCGTCTTTGTCGTCATCGTCGTCGTCGTCGTCATCGTCTCCGGCGTCGTCCGAAGACACATTGGTTTTCGCACTCTAACTTTAGTTTAAGGGAATGGATCTCCATGAAATTTTACCATAAGGTTCAATACCATGAAAGGAAAGTTGAGATTGATTTTGTGGGTTATGGTACCAACAGTTAAGGAATTAGGGGCCAAAAAGGGGCCAAAAATAAGCATTTTTGTAACTTTCAGACAATAACTTGTGTGTAAGTGTATGGATCTCTCTGACATTGTACCACAAGGTTCCATATCACAAAGGGAAGGCTGTAATTGATTTTGGGGGTAATTGCCTCAAAATTTTAGGAATTAGGGGCCAAAAAAGGGGCAAAAAACAAGCATTTTTCTAGTTTCATGACAATAACTTGTGTGTAAGTGTTTGGATATTTCTGAAATTGTACTACAAGGTTCCATATCACAAAGGGAAAGCTGGAATTGAGTTTGGGGGTAATTGCCCTAATTGTTTAGGAATTGGGGGCCAAAAAGGGGCCAAAAATAAGCATTTTTCTAGTTTCCAGACAATAACTTGTGTTCAAGTGTATGGATCTCTCTGAAATTGTACTGCAAGGTACCATACCACAAAGGGAAGGCTGGGATTGAGTTTGGGGATGATGAATCATAAGGGGGTTCAAAAAATTTGGGGGGGGGGGATTTTTTTTTTTTTTTTTTCTTTTTTTCCTTTTTTTTTTCTTTTAAAATTTTCCATTTTAAGTTGGTTATATCTGATTTATATTTAAAAGCAAATAATAATGATATGGTAGGAGATACACACCAAACAGGATGTGTAAATTATTATATAATAAGTATTGTGCAATAGCAAGAAATTTTCAATTGCACAGTATTGCACAATAGCAAGAAATCTTCAATTGCACAGTATTGCGCAATAGCAAGAAATCTTCAATTGCACAGTATTGCGCAATAGCAAGAAATATCCAATAGCACAATATTGCGCAATAGCAAGAAATTGTCAATTGTACAGTATTGCGCAATAGCAAGAAATATTCAATTGCCCAGTATTGTGCAAAAGAAGATACTTCGTATAAATTGCTTATTTCTTGATCAATTTCAATGGGGTTTTATTCTTGAATTCTTGGGGTTCTTTAATATGGTGAATCTAACCGTGTATTAAGTTTTTGGATTTTGGGCCCCGTTTTTAAATTGGTCCACATTGAGGTCCAAAGGGTCCAAAATTTAACTTTGTTTGATTTCATCAAAAATTGAATTATTGGGGTTCTTTGATATGCCGAATCTAACCGTGTATTTAGATTTTTAATTTTGGGTCCCGTTTTTTAAATTGGTCTACATTAAGGTCCAAAGGGTCCAAAATTAAACTTAGTTTGATTTTAACAAAAATTGAATTCTTGGGGTTCTTTGATATGCTGAATCTAAACATGTGTTTACATTTTTGATTATGGGCCCAGTTTTCAAGTTGGTCCAAGTTGGGGTCCAAAATTAAACTTTGTTTGATTTCAACAAAAATTGAATATATGGGGTTCTTTGATATGCTGAATCTAAACATGTATTTAGATTTTAGATTTTTGGCCCAGTTTTCAAGTTGGTCCAAATTGGGGTCCAAAATTAAACTTTGTTTGATTTCAACAAAAATTGAATATATGGGGTTCTTTGATATGCTGAATCTTACCATGTATTTAGATTTTTTATTTGTGGGCCCTCTATCAAATTGGTTCATATTGAGGTCAAAAGGGTCCAAAATTAAACTTTGTTTGATTTCATCAAAAATTGAATTATTGGGGTTCTTTGATATGCCAAATCTAACCGTGTATTTAGATTCTTATTTTTGGGTCCTGTTTTTTAAATTGGTCTACATTAAGGTCCAAAGGGTCCAAAATTAAACTTAGTTTGATTTTAACAAAAATTGAATTCTTCGGGTACTTTGATATGCTGAATCTAAACATGTGTTTAGATTTTTGATTATGGGACCAGTTTTCAAGTTTGTCCAAGTTGGGGTCCAAAATTAAACTTTGTTTGATTTCAACAAAAATTGAATATATGGGGTTCTTTGATATGCTGAATCTAACCATGTATTTTGATTTTGGACATTGGACCATAATAGGTAAATTAAAAAAATTGAAGTTCTTAGACCACATTCTTTCTGTGTCAGAAACCTATGCTGTGTCCAATATTTAATCACAATCCAAATTCAGAGCTGTATCAAGCTTGAATGTTGTGTCCATACTTGCCCCAACTGTTCAGGGTTCGACCTCTGCGGTCGTATCAAGCTGCGCCCAGCGAAGCATTTTATTATCTAATGGTTTAATTCTCATGAGAAACAAATCATTTACTAATTCCTTATTAACATTTTCCTGTTGTAATTTATTCCCTGATTATTGATTGAATATTTTTTTTTACTTACATGTAGATAAAAATTAGTAGTTTGGTTCAATTCAAACAGGAGACAACTCATGTACAATTTTTCTGCTGTTAATTAATCCTATGGTGATGGAAATATTATTTTTACTAACAGGTACATAAAAAGTCTTCATCTGAAGGAGACTACATTTATTGTAGGTTGGTTCAATTCCAATGGGAGACAACTCTTGTACTATTTTACTTATTAACATTTTCCTTTATCTTATTTAATCCTCTGGTGATGGAAATATGACTTTAAACTAACCACTAACAGGTACATAAAAAGTCTTCATCTGAAGGAGAATACATTTATTGTAGGTTGGTTCAATTCCAATTGGAGACAACTCTTGTACTATTTTACTTATTAACATTTTCCTTTATGTTATTTAATGCTATAGTGATGGAAATATGACTTTAAACTAACCACTAACAGGTACATAAAAAGTCTTCATCTGAAGGAGAATACATTTATTGTAGGTTGGTTCAATTCCAATGGGAGACAACTCTTGTACTATTTTACTTATTAACATTTTCCTTTATGTTATTTAATGCTATGGTGATGAAAATATGACTTTAAACTAACCACTAACAGGTACATAAAAAGTCTTCATCTGAAGGAGAATACATTTATTGTAGGTTGGTTCAATTCTAGTGGGACACAACTATTCTAACGTTTTACAGTCTCATATTTACTGCTTTTGTGTAATAAATATTTTAATTGCTAAAAATTTAATTACTTCTCTAGTCTAGTAGCAGTTTACATTAGTCATTTCTTGATGAATAAAGAAAATTTTATATGAAGCATAATTTTAATTTATTTGTTTATTTGCTATTATTCAGATGACAAGCCCACAATAGACATGAGAAATATCGATCTTGATATTGATTTTAATAATGTCAATATCAACACTCTTAGACAGAGCTACTCTCAACTAAGTTTTAATAAAGGTAATATTTCTAGTTTTTACTTTGCATGCTTTTACCATAGTTAGAATTCATAATGATCAAATTAAACCTTATACTCAATGGGTATTAAAAATCCTGAAATATATGTTTAAACATTTACAAATGAATTAATTCAAAAGATAAGTATTTACATTTATACTGCACTCGTTCTATTTGAGCAGTCAATGTTGTGTTGACTGTATATTTCTTTGTCATATACAGTCACTGACCCAATATCACTTTTCATCATGAATATTAAAATAGTATAGCCAGAACTATATTTAATATTCATGACAACCCCCTTCAGACTGTGGCGTGGAACGACTCAAACTTATTTATTTTACAACTGTTGAATAAAACATATTTCACTTGTAAATATTTTTGTTTAAAACCTAAAATTCGTTAATTTTTATGCTTATTGTCGATATCTTTAGTCCATACTAAAACGAATTCACCAACGATTGTTTTCAACAGATAATGTTGTTCATTTCTCCACCCAATGGGAGGCCTTTTTAAAGACAGATTTTCCCAAAATTTAAATTTATTAACAATAACTCAATAAACAACAATTGGGAATGTTTTTTTCCTAGATTGTAGTATAAAAACATTAATAGTGTATTAACTTGACACATCAGTGATATAAGGAGTTAGCATGAATCAAAGAAAAAGCTTGACAGTGCCTCGTATTTCCTCATTTCTAAGCCTCATCCTTATATTTGTTGATATATCAAGTCAGTACACTATTATTGTCTATGTCTAATAATTTTCAGAAAATAATTATCACATAACATCTGTAAATACTGAAATATTATTTAAAAGCATCTTTGATTTTTATAAGCCTGTCTCCAGGACGTATTATGTTATACTGTTGTCTGTCTGTCTGTCGTTCCGTCTGTCCTTCTGTTGTCAACATGTGGGACAATAACTCAAAAATGCATTAACCAATTTGCATAAAAATTTGGTGAATTATTTGTATATATTGACGTGGGCTCCCTTTCGTTTTTTTATAAATTTAAGATTATAGTTTCAGAGTTATGGGGTTTTATACATTAATAAAAGGGGGATTGGCGATTTATCCAGATTTTGGACAACAACTCAAGAATGCTTTTACAAACTTGCAAGAAATTTTGGATAATTGTTTATATCTATTAACATCAGCTCCCTTTTGATTTTTATAAATTTTATTTTGATATATTTTCTACACAAATTTTACAATTCTAAATTTCAATAGTTTAGTCTATCTTTTAATGCTTCATTTTATTATGTTATGGGTGTGCTAAAATATTGAGCAAGACACATTTTGTATAAAGCATGGAATGTCTTCTTCTAAAAATATACACATGGTCTATTGCTTTCAATACCATTTAACATAACTAAAAGCTTAATTGAATTAGTATAATTCTTTTCATGAATTTCAATAAAATACAATTGGAGTACTCTTGTAAATTGTACGTGAGGAGGAAGTTAATAATACTTTATGATCCATTTCTACATATTATTTGTATTAAGCCTTCCCTACAATATGGCTCATATATTATAGTAATAGCTTTTGTATTTGAAATGAAAAACCTGATTCCATTTTATTGAGCTTTCATTTTGCTAGATATGAAAAGATGTGGTATGAGTGCCAATGAGACACCTCTCCATCCAAGTCACAATTAGTCACAATTTGTAAAAGTGAATTTACATTTAGCATTTTTATTAATAAAAAAAAAATATTTAATTTGATAGGAGCAGGTGAGAGATCAACTTACAAGGTTGAAAACAGACCACCATACTGGCCAGAGGGTATACCATTTGTATCCCACTCTAAGAGAAAAGGTTTGAAAATGTGATACATGTATTACTATAAACCATATTTCTTAAATTAACATAATATAAGGTGTATGAGTTTGTAAGAATCATTACAACAGTTTTGCTATTACATGTATTATAAATTTGTGCCATCTCATTGTTTTTGACACATAGTTAAGTTAGGTGTCTTCCTCCTATTCCCACTTTTTAAAAATTACTATTCCTTCTATTCCCACATGCAAATAACAATAGATGTTTTGATAAATAATTTGTTTTTATAACAATCAAGGTTAATTAAAAATCACCAAAGATTTACCTGTATTTTTTAAAAGGAAACATATTTCTTACACTGTTTAAGTATATTATTTTTAAAAAAAACCAAAAACACACTGTTTATTTCACTACAAACCAGTAAAAGTCTGAAATGGCCTATATCTGTACTCGACTGTACTGATTTTTACTCGACCAGTCTGAATTGATCTGAATTTTACTCGACATTACTCGACCCCAGTCTTAACCATACTCGACTGTACTGATTTGTACTTGACCCTTATCTTTGCCATTGAAAATAGTCTGAACTATTACTCGACCAGTCTGAAACAGTCTTAACCCATTCTCGACCTGTACTCGACCTTTTTTTTTCAGTCTAAACCATACTCGACCAAAGGTCTGAACAATACTCGACCAGTCTGAACCATACTTGACCAAATAACGTCTACTTTTTCTAAATTTTTAAACTGTTAAAATAAATTTCTTTTTAACTGACATGACAACAGCCACAATAAAATAAAGATATATTATAAAAACAGATTTTTACATTCTTACATGATTCTCAGATTTATCGAATAGAGATAGTTAAATCAAATTATGTTATATAATAATTTAATTATATTAATTTTAAAAATTTAAAGTTTTAGAGTTTTGTTAAAAAAAGGTTTCTTTTACCTAAAAACCACACCTATACTGAGGGTAATTAAACCCTATTAAGGTGCTTCTTGTTTGGCATGTGTTTTTTTTTAAATTAATTTTCCTAAATTCCTAAATAAAAACTACATAGGTTTCATGGTTACATACAAAAAAATGTACAATAGTTATATAATTTTTTTTTAAATGAGGTAACAACAGCCAACAAAATCACTGAAATTGTTTAACCTTATATTAGAAATATATCTATTATTATAATATGGGATATATTATATACAATATATATCAAAAAGGGATAAAAATTAAAGAAATTAATAAAATTGTTCTTCTGATTAGTGGTGAAGTATAAAGTAATACCTCCTGCTTGGGGCAAACTCATGAAAAAGATCACACCTGGTCAGAGAGGATTAAATTCTAAATAACATTCATTCAAAATTGCAACATCCTGTGAAACTTAAATCGCAAGGCCTTTTGAATTCACTAGATAAGTAATACACGAGTTTAAGAAAAATAGGGCTTTCTTTTTACCTGTAAAACACACATGTACTGAGGTAATTAAACCTTATTAAAGTGCTTCTTGTATGCCATGTCTTTAATTTTGACAAAAATTATTTAAATTTAATTGAAATAAATTTTTACCGTAACTTTGGAACACATTTCCCTTTTAAAAAGTTTATCACAGGATTACTATGGAAGTTCTATTATCATGATTATATTAAATTCTTGGTTTAACAAAACAAAGGTGTCATTTTTTTAATTTATTAAGTTGCTTTATATGCTATTTTATATATATTTTAATAAAAAAAATGTTCACTGCATTATTAACTAAACTCAACTGACACCATAAATCTATACAAGGCTTAAGTAAATGGTGAAAATTGTCCAGTAACCATAAAATATATCTGAAACATTCAAAAAATTTGAATAACATTGAAAATATTAGTCACAATTCAGTTTTGAGATTATTTGATCAGCTTGTTTTAATTTCATTTTAAAGGTGATATATATGTATGTATATAAGTGTTGATGAATATGGTGATGAAGTTATATCATGTTTATTGTGAAATTTTGGTTTCAATGCTATATTGAATACATTTTTAATTTCAAATTGTTGTTAAAATTTCTAACCAGGAGAAATAGCTGTTGATAAAAAACAGTTCCTAAATTGATAAAATACAATAGATAGATACAAAAAATAGGTCTAGGTTGGTTAAGACTTGGTCGAGTATGGTTCAGACTAGGTCGAGTATGGTTCAGACTAGGTCGAGCATGGTTCAGACTAGGTCGAGCATGGTTCAGATACGTATACAATGGTTAAGTACTGGTCGAGTATAAGTTCAGACTGTTAAGTATGGTTCAGACTACAGTCGAGTATTATCAAGTAAATTTCAGACCAATTCAGACTGGTCGAGTAAAAATCAGTACAGTCGAGTACAGATATAGGCCATTTCAGACTTTTACTGGTTTGTAGTGTTTGTAAAAGGTTTTTTTTCTTCTTCAAAGAATTACCTTATAAGAATAAGTCAGATAAACAGAAGTAATATACGATTAAAAAATCATTGAATTTGTAAACCTAAAATTTTGTCATCTGAACACATAAATTGATGATAAATGATATAAAAACAAAATTTCATTATGTTACTTTTTAGAGACAGTGGTGCATTATTCATTGTTCTTTTGACATTAAAAAAAGGACTAGCTATACACATAACCAATGATCACATTATATTTTTGTAGTCATTTAGTTGGAGTTCTGCAACAATACATATGTCTTTCATCATATCAATATTAAGTTTCTGAAATGGAAAATTCCAACGAAATTCGAAACTTTTCACTGGACGTTAAAGATTTATCTGAGTACTTGAGTACTTGAAAGTATCATGACAGAGTACCTGTGTATTAAATTTCATATATTTTAACATCCCTAATTTTAAGATATTTAAAAAGTAAGCTTCTTGTTTAAAAAAATAAACATTTATAAAGCATCTGGAAAAAACAAATTAATCTATAATTACCATTGCCAGCAATAAATGATATCAACCTGTTTCCACATTGCCAGAAAACCTGGTTGCCCAGTAATCACAGCCTTTTGAAAATTAAAATCTGAACAACAAATCTCCAGATGTGTTGTTAATGTTGTGTAAAGTTTCTTTCATTTTGAATATTTTGATATTTTATATATTTGTCTTGTTTACATGTTAAGGACAATAAAGTCTGCCATTCTAAAAATTTCAAACCCTAACTGTGTAAAGCAAAAAAATATCTGGGTGAAATTTGATCCAGTGGAAAAAATGTCAAAGTAGTTGTTGTTACCTTTTTATTCTGGAGGAAAATATTTCGCTATGAGTTGTATAGAATCATTGGTTTCAGACATATTAAAATCTACGAGATCAAGATTTTTTTTTTTATTTTTCAATCTGAAGTTAGTACAAACGCCATAGTTGATACAGTGTATTTGATTATAAAAGTCAAACTTGGCCAGGAATCTTCACAGACAAGCCTTATAAAACCAACTGACAAACTTCAATTCATCGTATTATCAAAATGAAATGTATTATAACTTGTATGGAAGGTTGTCACATTGACAGTCATACCACATCTTCTTATATCCATGTGTAGGGTACTATAGATAAGGCCTTCAACCATCAACAAACACTACCGGTTAACCGGTTAATCGGTCGAACGATAAGCCGAGTAACCGGTTAGGCAAAATTGTACGATCAGGTAAGTCAATGTAAGTGAAATACAGGTACAAGTGAGTTGTTTTCAGATCTCAATTCAAATATAAAAAGTAAAGGTAGAAAGTCTGCATTGAGAAAAAACTGTTATCTCAATATCATTTATGTAAATTATAAAAAGCAAGGGTCTGGGGACAGAGATGTAGTTGATGATTATGTGGAAATCAGATGAATCATAGCATAACAATATATAGGAACAAACACAATTAAAACAGCTGGATAGCATTTAACTGTGAAATATTTTCTGTCTTATTACTAAATCATGATTAAAGTCATCTTTTTATATGCATGAATAAAAAAAAAAAATCTTTGTGAAATAGATTCACGAATATAATATTAATATCTTTAAAATATAAATTGCTCATAATTACCTCCCTTTGATTGATAAATTGTGCAAATTTGTTCTACCTATGGAAAAATGGACCTGTGAAATACCATGTCTTGAAAAAAATTACTGTGACAAATTATCCCCAGAATAATATATCACACGAAAGAAATCACCCGTTACAACTGCACATCTACACATGGTGGTTCCAATTCTGCTGAACCAGCATGAAGATAAATCCAAGAAAAAAAGTGTTGTTAAACCTTAATATTTAGTTTTTATAAATAACTGTCTAAAATGGTTATTTTTAAAATCTCAAGAGGAGATTTTATATGGTTAGATATACTTATCGTGAAATTACATTTAGATTATATTATCATGACTTCAGTGAGTACATCTTATGGATGTAATTTTTATTCACCTATTAAAGTTAATTGCGATGAGAACATGTTGTGAAAGCAACCATATTCCATATAATAAATGTAATTTCATGGTAAGTATATTTAATCAAATTCATATAAAATTGCTCAATTATAACAAAACACCATTACACCTTTTATCCTATTTCTTCCAGGGAGTACAAGCAGGATTCACCCCAATAAATGTACCAGAGACATATGACATTTTAAAGGTATTTGACATTTAGATAGTGTAAGGTAAATAGCAAAAATAATTGGTTTATAATAGTCTAAATTTCAGATGCACCAACAGACACCATGACATAATCTTCATAGCTGTGACAGAGTAAAGGTTGATGAATAGTTTTAGGATACATTACCATTTGTCATATGAAACTGTATAATTGTATATCTAAAACTTCTTCCCTCTAGAATGTAAAAACAAATCAGCAAGATAGCATCAACAAACCAGTGTAAAGTATCGCTCTATGATACTTTTAACAGTCTTTTTGAGTTTTTCTTATTGTTATTTACAGAAATGAATAGGTAAGAAGATATTCGTAGTATATGCTTTCCTCTCTGCTTGCATGACAAAATATAAACATCTGCACAACACTGTTAGAACTTTAAATTGATATTTTCTCTTTGTATATTGG